TCCTGCAGTATAAAGGAGCCATTTACTTTGATGTGTTCTTTCAAAAATAGGGACTGAGATTGAAAAAAACATTCTGTGTAGTCTTAATCTGTTACTATTATATTTTCTGAAAAATCCCTTCACGAGGACTTTTTTTTTTTTCTGGGAAGCTGAGAAGCTTCAGAGAAAAAGAAAAAAATACTTGTTTCTTCTTATTTTGTTACTTTGGAATGTAGTTTAGAAATTGTTTATCCAACATGTGAATTGTTTGTACTTAATGACCAATCAGAGTGTAGCTATGTCAGGACTTTGGAGAATCGTGAGTTTTTAATTAGTATCTTGTTAAACTTTCTGTCTGTATCCTTTCTCTGTTCTTTAGTATAGTTTTAGTATAGTATAATATAATATGATATATAATTAATATAATATAATATAATATAATATAATATAATATAATATAATAGTATAGTATAGTATAGTATAGTATAGTATAATAATATAATTAATCTAATATAATATAGTATAATATAATATAGTATAGTATAATATAGTATAGTATAATATAGTATAACATAATATAGTATAACATAATATAGTATAACATAGTATAACATAATATAGTATAGTATAATGTAATATAGTATAATATAGTATAGTATAATATAGTATAATATAGTATAATATAATATAATATTTCTAAAAACATGAACATGAATATTTCTAAAAAACATTTTCTTCCTGCCATGGGGGACCCCAAAAATACCACATTAATCCTGTATCATTATCATGATAGGTTTAAAATGATAGGTAAAAAATGATATGAATGACAAGGAGCCTGTGTCATCCTTATTGTCCAGGAATTTTCTCTATGATGATATCTTATATATCGATGTATATTTTATGTGTTAGGATAAACAAGCACTTGCTGATCAAAAGAAAGCCAAGTTCCATCAAACAGAAGGTGACCACCTCACTCTGCTGGCTGTGTACAATTCCTGGAAGAACAATAAGTTTTCAAACCCTTGGTGCTATGAGAATTTCATCCAGGCCCGTTCCTTACGCCGGGCTCAGGACATTCGCAAGCAGATGTTGGGCATCATGGACAGGTGAGCACATCAAGGAGGGACAAGTTCTGACTCTGTGGTCTTGGGAAGGATGAAAGTTTGACAAGAAAGTCTCACAGATGCTTAGCAGAAAGATTTTGGAATGTAGAGTTTGATGAAAGAATAGAGATGGAAGCAAGTTTTGATAGAGAAGAAAAGAATTGCTGAGCCAATTTTACTGGGTAACCAAGGAGGCAAAGGGTGTGTTAGTTAGAAGGGGTTTTTATGGCTTAGAGCAAAAGATAAACTTAATTCAAACCAGAAGATGTTTTTACCAAGCACAAAGATAGCACAGGCAAACAAGTCAGCAAATGTTGCAAGTAGAAAAAAGGTCTCAGAATTTTCCACTGCAAGAAAACTGAAAAACAACTTCTGGCTTAAACTGTAATGTACTGACTTTGAGTGATTGGAGAACAGTAACATGAATATGGTAATTACAATAGTTAAGATGGGCTAGAGATAAAAGTTAAGGTATAGATTGGTTCTACTGTATGAAGATGCTCAGCAAAGAAAAGCATATAATGCAATGTAAGAAAAAGAAAAGTATAGAATGCATTGTAACCTAAAGAAAAGCATATAATGCACTGTAACCAGAAGAAAAGTAAATAATGCAATGTAACCAAAAGAAAAGTATAGAATGCAATGTAACCAAAAGAAAAGTAAATAATGCATTGTAACTTACAGAAAAGTATATAATGCAATGTAACCTAAACTAAGGGTCTCCAGGGCTGCCTGCAGCTGGAGCTGACAGCTGTAGGCGCAGCTCTGCCACCCACAACTGTGGACTCTGTAACATCTTAGTTAAACTGCATTTTGAAGTCCCGCGTCTCTCACTCAAGCTCTTACACTGTGTCTTCTGTTCTTGCATTGTAATAGCTAAAGAAAATTTGCTAAACTGATCTTGGTAGCTGCATCCAAATCTGCAGAGCTCTGATCTTTTTCTCTCTATGTCTTGCCTGGCAGGCATAAGCTGGATGTGGTGTCCTGTGGGAAGGCCACAGTCCGGGTCCAGAAGGCAATTTGCAGTGGCTTCTTCAGGAATGCAGCCAAGAAGGATCCCCAGGAAGGGTACAGGACCCTCATTGACCAGCAGGTTGTTTACATCCACCCATCCAGTGCTCTCTTCAACAGGCAGCCTGAATGGTAAGGAAGGCAAGAGCATGGGATTTCCTGTTTCTCCTCAGACTTTATAACAGAGAAACTTGTGGTGTGGGGAGTACAGTCTGGGCAAAGGCTCCTGATTCCTTAGCAATGAGAAAAGTTTCAAGTCTGATTTTGTCTCTTTCTGCTGCTGAGGGTGTTCAGAGGGGTCTGAGGATGAGGGAAGAGATGAGGATCTGACTCCACGTTTCAGAAGGCTGATTTATTATTTTATGATACATATTATATTAAAACGATACTAAAAAGAACAGAAGAAAGGATTTCATGAGAAGGCTAGCTAGGAATAGAAAAAGAAAGAATGATAATAAAGGCTTGTGGCTCAGACAGAGTCTGAGCCAGCTGACTGTGATTGGCCATTAATTAGAAACAACCACATGAGACCAATCCCAGATGCACCTGCTGCATTCCACAGCAGCAGATAATCATTGTTTACATTTTGTTCCTGAGGCCTCCCAGCTTCTCAGGAGGAAAAATCCTAAGGAAAGGATTTTTCATAAAAGATGTCTGTGACAGCTGAGCTTAGTGATTGTGCAGAGATGAGTCTGACTTTTGGAGCCAAGGCCAGGCCTGAAGTTGTAATTGTTTCTTTATTGTGGAAGGGGGTTTAAAACACTGGGTGTTAAAGAGAGAGAGCATTGTTTTAAATGGGATGGAGGAGTTCTGTGCTGAAGAGTAGCTGTGAAGTAGGAGGAGGAAAATAAATAATTTCAGATCCTTCTATTGAACAGAGGTAGTTTGGAAGGGAGACTTTAACAAAAGCAATTTTTAAGTACTGGGCTTACTCAGTCCTTTATCCAGAAGGATAACTCTTCTGGATGGTTCTTCTGGAGCTTAAAAGGAGCAAGCTTAGCTCCTCCAGCCCTTTCCTTGTTTTTCTTGTTTGCAAAACCCGATTTTCAGCATTCCGTCCCTTTTCCCAGGGTGGTGTATCACGAGCTGGTGCTGACCACCAAGGAGTACATGAGGGAGGTGACAACCATCGATCCTCGCTGGCTGGTGGAGTTTGCCCCAGCTTTCTTCAAGGTCTCTGACCCCACCAAGCTGAGCAAGCAGAAGAAGCAGCAGAGGCTGGAGCCGCTCTACAACCGCTACGAGGAGCCCAACGCCTGGCGGATCTCGCGCGCCT